TTTGATTGATAGTAATTTCTTTGAATAAAAATCTTAAAATATCTTAGCTGATGATGAAAGTTGATGTTTTCTGTACAAGTAAAAGGTAAATTGATAACTATCTACTTGGTTAAGAAAACAATTGCCTCACTAAATAATGTTTTTTAGAAGCTTTGAATAAAGACAATCCCTCCCCTGACTGATTAGCAAGGAATAATTTAAAGCAATTTTTAATTGAAGGGGAAAAGCAAGTGATATTTTTTACAAAGAATGTCTTCCTGACATCTGAACAAAATCATTACATTAGGCCAGAAAAGCCTGAGTTGTTGTTTCATTGTGTAATGCAATCATAATCAAGCTTTTGAGTGTTAAAAAAAAAAAATGTGTCTTTTGTTGATCATTTCTCAGCTAGTATATTAGGCATGATCTCTGTTGCATATGTGATATAGAGTGCTTTGTTTCCTAGACTGAATTCTTACATTAAAGGACACAATTTTAACAGCCTTTCAAAAATTCAGAAAACTTGACATGGGAATAAAGGAAGATTCCAATAGTTTGCTTTTCTAAAGTATCAGAAATTTCAAAATAATACCAAGGTATATCTTGAAGGCTAAACATTAATTTCTTTTCATATATAATCAGTTTTGACTGAAACTTTGTAGATGCATCATATAATTCTTGTTCATTAAAGGCCTGATGAACTAGATTTTATATGTTGATGTAATTCTTATAAATTATAAGACATTCCACTTTTAGTGAATGTATAAAAAATATAAAGCTTTAAAAATACAGTCTACTTTTTTTCCTCCATAATATTTCCCATGGATGTCATATGTTGAATTCTGCAAGAGGAATATTCTGTGTGCAGAGGGCTTAGTGTAGGATCATTCAACTTGTATAAATATAAAAAATAATTTGATGTATATACCACATGACTTCCTTGTACGGAATATTAAATTATACGCATTTTTCTTGCATTTCATTTAAACTTATTGGGTTGAATTAAATGTACTTCGTCGATAGCGCATAAACCACAATAGAATCAATGCACTCTTTAAAATTCACTATATTTGTTTACCATAGCGACACTCTGACGCCAGGTTCACTTAACAGCATTACATTTTGTTCATATTATAACTCAGAATACACAAAATTTATATCATTTGAAGAATTATCTAATCTTTGCCACATGTTCTATTCAAATACTGTAATAAATCTAAAACAGTGTATGAAAGAAATTAAGCAAACAAAACAAAAAAGAAACAGTTTTTCACAGACGATTCAGTATTTTTCATTCAATTAATTTAGTTCTCACTTTGCAACAAGGCAAAAATATATAAAAACTCAAAATATCTAAATTAAAAATTGCGAAGTAAATCTTAAACACTTGTTAACTTGAATAAATTCCAGAATGGATTAAGCATGATTTAATTTGTAATAATAAAAGAAGGCATTATCTTTGTTGTTGCGAAGCTTAGTTTCTCTAGATTGGTAAAAAATCCGTTATTTTGTCAAGCTTCAAAAGTAAATAAACATGGCCGCCATTGCAAAAATAATTAGGCTTAGCTGCACTTAAAAACTTTTAAATTGTTGATAACTCTAAAGATATTGCATGCAGATTTACTAAAGGCATATCGTTTTTAAAGCAAAAAATGCACAATTTACAAACATACAAGAGTAAAGAAACTGAGATCACTGAGCTGGGTGACAGAGTGGATATATGTATGCATATACATTTATATACGTCTGGTGCGACTAATTGCAACCAAAATATGAGATGCACGTCTACATCTTATAGCAGTCCTATATTACAAAACTTCAACGTTCTGAGGCTAGTCTTTTTTTAGTTATGCGAGATACGTACATACAGACGCCCGCAAAAAATTCTCTTTAGAATTCATTTTAAATCTGTTTTATAATTTTTTCGGTGGAAAGGTGTCTTTTATTCTGTCCTTATGTACAGGTGCCATGCAAAAACATCATTAAATTGCATTCAATAGTGGTCAAAATGGATATCTTCATTAAAATATGATGCCTGAAACTTTTCACGATTACAATACTTCTTTTTTACTTCGTACAAGGAAGTAAAATTAGGAACATTTTGGATCATTGTCAGCTGTGTTCCTAAATGCACGTTCTGCAATTTTTTTAACCTAGTAGTTTATTGAATAGAAATTTTAATTTAGGAGTATTATTAACTTTTTATGGGTGAATCTCTTGGTACTAATTATGTTTTCTAATTATAGGATGTAATAGCTACAGGTACAAATGATGGCAAAATCCAGGGATGGGATATTAGGAAAATGCAAGGTCCTCTTTTTATGCTAGTTGGACATGAATATGCAATTCGGCAATTAAAAGTAAGATTTGTTTTTCATTTTCAAAATTTTACATTTTACCTCTAATTGTTAGATATTCTTAGAGACTACGGCACTTGACCAAAAGTTATAGATATCATAATTAGTTTATGGAAAGGATCTGAGGGAAATGAAGTCATGTGCATTTTTATCATGTCAGAAATGCTAGAAGTAAGGAGAAGTTGCGGATTCAGTCTGTGCGAGTATATACAGTAAGAAGTCTGAAATCCTGCAATCAGTATCTGGAATGGTCTAATATCCAGACCTCCTGACTACGAGCAATTTATTTATTCAGAAAGGAAGAAAGAATTGTATTCCAAGAGTAGCATATGCTTCATGCATGCACAGTAAACATTTTTTCATAATGAAGTGTGTGAAAGATTCTGATTCTTAATTTTACTTAGGCACAAAATAAAACACCTCTGTTGAAGAAGCACAATTATTTATAAGCATAAATCTGTATGATCAATAATCTGGTTTCAGGCATACATCTTAAACCAAAACATTCTATCAAAAGTTTATCACAGCTCTTTTTTAGGGAATAATTTTTTATTTGAGTTTTCATCATTGCATCACTGTCAACTCACCTTAGCTTGAGAAATGACTCCAGCCATGTTTAAAACAATTTTTGTTTTAAATTTCAATAATTGAATACAAACAGCATGGTAACATTTTATGCTGACATTCAGCTTGACTAGGATTTATAAACTGGGAAGGTAACGATCGATCGTGCAAAAGGTAGGGTTGGTTTTTCCCAATCACCCCTGTTCTGTTTTTGGTTTAGTTGAATGGATTCACCCTGTAGTCAGTTAGGGTGATCCTGTGTCCTTTTGTGACCTTGATTAGACAGGATAATATTCTTGAAAATTTGGCTTCTGTTCTTTTTTTATATTTCATGCATTTCGTTCCATGCACTCTAATAGACCACACCTCCCTCTTGTGTTCTGATTTTGGGCAAACCTTAGAAAATGCCACTGGAACTTAATCCTTTGAATGTCATGGAACCTTTCGATCTGCATTATGAGGCAGAACTTCAGAAGCTTCTAAAGGAAGTAGTAAGTGATTTACTGAAGTAGATACCTTATTGCTTGTTCTAAGCTCAAATCCCTAAAAAAGTATGGATGTTTGTGTTGTCTTCACTTTTGCAGGTGTAGGTCTATCCTTACAAAGATATGTATAGTATTAGAATATACAGGGTGATTTCCAAATTCATGGTACAAACTTGGAGGGGAGGTACAGAACAAAGGTAAAAATAATATTCACATAAGAAAACTCAGGTTGCAATCCATTTATTTAGTTATAAATACAAGGTGTCTCACTTCAACTGAAACAAGCTGCTTACAAGAACTGTTCAAAATTCCGTCCACCAACAGCAGTGCATTCTTGACAGCATTGATGGAGCGATTGGTGTACATTGGCAAAGATTCCAGGTATTTCACGCATGCATGCCGCAGCCACTTGTGTTTGAGCAACGAGATTCTCAGCTGAATCAAGTGGAGTTGCATAACCAAGACTCTTCAAATGTCTGCAGAAAAAGTAATCGAGGGTCGATAAATCAAGAGTAGCCAAGGGACTGGTTTCATCACGGCCAATCTGTCGTGCCCAAAAGTGGCATTCAAATAATTGCAAACATCAGTGCTGAAGTGGACTGTTGCCCCATCATGTTGGAACTACATTTGGTAATGAATGGAGATTCAAACATCTTGCAGCAGTTCTGGTAACACCTGTAACATTGGCCATTTAATCACTGTGGCAGTTGGTATAAGCCAGAGAAAAAGTCTTGAACGATACCAGGTCACACATCCACACTACATTGATTCATTGTTGAGATGCAATGAGTCGTAAAAGTTTCTGTGGGTGCTGTTATTCGTATGAAGCAATTCATGCGAGATGGTATGTGATATCAAACTCATTTTAAAGTTTTCTTATTGTAAATGTATTTTAAGCTGTATTTATGATGAAGTAAATTGATCGAGACATGGGTTTCCTATTCGAATATTATTTGTACCGTTGTTCTGTACTTCCCCTTCAAAATTGTACCATGAATTTGGAATCGGTTTGCATATTATATCTTGGCTGCATGTGTTTTAATCTGCATGTCTCAGCATTAAGAAGAAAATATTGTTTTGAGGTTTGGCTTGGAATTTTAAGAAATATTATAAGGAATATTGATTTTGTGATGGAACTTAACTCTTTTAAGATAGCAGTCAGTATATTACACCATTATACACTTGAATTCACATTTTTATGAGATTTTTACTTCATAGTAATAATAATGAGCAGAAATTGCATTCCAGATTTTTATAAATAATTTGAGAAGATGTTAATCTTGCCAAATGGAATAAGCAGAAGCTTTTTTTCATTTTGTGCATAATCGCAAAATCTGACTGTTTGTTTTGTAATACCATAAGCAACCACAATCTTGTTTCTGAGTTCATTCGTAAGACTGACTTTCACACCTGCTCACATTAATCCCCTGCCATCTGCTATTGCAAATGGTAGAAATGGTCTTAAAGCGACCTCTGTTGCTTGCTGTGACTTACTATTAAATTATGTCACCCAGACAGTAGTGGTTGGGCAAGCCATCTGCGATACCAAAGGGCCTGGGTTCGAATTCCGAAGAAGGCATGGATGCAAATTGTCTGTTCCCTCATAAGAGGTCATGGTAGCTGCTTATTAGATACCTTCATTATAAAATGAGCACTACTTGTGGCTATTGGCAAAAGGTTCAAAATGTCTCGTGCTTGCCATTAAAAAAAAATAATTAAATTATAAACTGTGTTTAAAACTTTATGAAAATTACTTATAGGGTAATCCTTTTAAAATGTAAAATAAATGATTGCATAGCTAATTTAAAAGTTATATGTGTCTAAATACATACACTTGCTCTTGCACTATGGCATTTGTGGAAACATTGGTAGCATATTTGTTTTGGTATCTGTTATAGATTGTTCTTCAAGTAGACTCTTCATTTTGGGTAGCTTGAATTTCTAAAATTTTGTTGACTCTGTCAAACCATAGTGATAGATCTGCAGGCTGGCAGCATGCGACATTAGGCACAAAAAGGTGTTTATGGCATGGCAGGAGTATGATTGCAGAACTCAATTTCTGGAGAGTAGTCATAAAGGATAACGGTAATTGTAAAGAGCTTATTGCATGGCATGTTTACTTTTAGAGCTGTGAAGAATCTTCTGAAAAGTGAGTATAATCATGAAATTGCCTGGCTCACATGCTGTCCAGATTTAAACCCAATTGAGCATAAGTGGTTTATTATGGAAAAATGAATTCCAGCTCACAGCCCTTAGCTGGGAAGTAAGAAAAGCCATAAAGAAAGAATATTATCCTAGGAACTTTAAATCATCTGGCAATGATCATGTCATGGTATTGTGATTGCTGCATTTCAGTTAATGATGGATGCATTTTTTTTTTAATTCAGATGTCGGATTTCATGTGCCTTGGTATGTACTTTTCATGCATCCTTTATGTCTGTCGAACTCCTGTATGTAATTTTCCTTGGGAAAACAAACAAACAAACAAACTTATAATCGTTTTGCTTTGTTATTTTTAGCAATGATTATAATTTTTTGCTAGTATAAGAAAATAACTTGCTGTATTTGTCTCCATTCATATGCACTTTTATATTGCTTATTCTTAAGTTTTGGACATGTGCGCTTTTTACTAGGCCAGTTCTATGCTTTGATGCTGTATTCATGAAATAAGATAACTCCCCCCCCCTTTGTTTTTATTGTAGAGTTATTAATACCTTGGATTCAATATGTGAGTATATATGATAAACCAATCGTTCTGACCTGGAGTTATAACAGAAACAGCATATTTTCATGCATTATTATTGTGAACACAGTTATTTATGATGTATCAATTTTAGAAAATGACTAATTAAACTTAAACTATTGCAGTTTTAAAATGTTATATCTGATCATGGCTTATTGCTTGTAATAATTCTATACATTTAATTCATTAAATTGCTGGACTTTTTTTAAAAATAAGAACACGATTGCATATGAAAGAAATTTTATTATTTGTTTTATTTCATTATCACTTATTATTGTAAAGCACTCAAGGGCTATCTGCTTAAAGGGAGGCATGAAAATGCTGATGCAACCAGTCTGTTCGTCAGGATTTGAACTACCACTGTTTGTTGATTTTACCATTTGGCTATTGGCGGGCGAAATCTTATTATCGAAAATGTTTTAGATTTGTGCATGTATTAAATTTTTTAGTTAAGGGGAATTTGTGTTTAAAATAATAATCCAATACCCATAATAATTACTGGCTAACAGTAATATAAATATTTTTCAGATTTGGGGTATTTTATTATGTTAGTTTTAGATAATTTATATTTTTTTCTAAAATTTAAAAAAAAAAAAAAAAAAAGTCTAAATAAAAATTAAGAAATTTTAGGAGATGTTGATGCATTATATCAGAAATAATTAGTTAAAGTCAGTGTTATATCGACTGGTACTGGATATCTAATTTTATTATGTGCCTTTTAAATTTTTTTATACAATTTTTGTGCATTTAATCTTTCAGTTTTCGCCTTTCCTACGAGGTTCCTTGGCATCTGTGAGCTATGATTTTACGACTAGGTAATAGATTTTTTAAATTTTCTTCATATGTATCCTTTGCATTACTCCATTTCAAATCTTAATACATTTTCAGTAGAAACTTAATACATATTCAGGAAATATGTGTATGACTTTTATGTATAACTCTTGTAGATCAGAATTTCGTGCTAGTAAAATAGTCATTATGTTTTAATATCTTAAAAATGCAAGATGTTCTCTATATTGAAAATTCAGAAAGAAATGCTCCTATGATATTTTCATAGAGGCAGTTACAAATTTTAAAATGAGTGCTCTTTTTATAGTTCAACTGTCTCAAGCGCAACCCTGGTTGGCATTTTGTCAAAACACATAGGCTCACCTAAAAGGGGCAGTATTACTTGCTGAGACGTGAAAGGTCTCTTTTCCTGAAAGAGCTATGCTGGAGGGAAAGATAGTCCCCATCCTTCCACCCTATTTTGAGAATAATTCTGTCCGAATGGTGCATGCATGTTTGTGCTCATGGTCACAGATGAGGCGGTCGAACTATGTACACTTGTATTTAGCTTGGTTTTTCTGTTTGTTTAGCTTAGTTTGGGGCCAAATTTTGAAATTAAATTCGATTCTGTTCTGTTGAGCTGATTTTCTGAATTTTAAACATTTGTTACTTCTGGACATCATATGACTAAGTATACCATATGATTTTGAGTTATCCTAATAGTCTTCTTTACACATGCTTTTATTTTAAAGATATGTGTGGTATTTTATTTTCATTGTATTTAACTAAACTTTTATATTTTGGATATATTTTATTATCAGAATTGAACCATTAATTTCTGAAATGAATAACCTCTACTGTTTTCTGTTCCTCTTTAATTTTTGTTCAAAATTTATAAATTTTGGTTTTCTAATAGGTTCAGAAAGTAATGTCAGTTGGTTATTCATAAAGATGTGATATGGAATTTTCTTGTTCATGGTTATTTAAAGTATAAAATGTATTTTTAATTAGAGTTTTTTCAGTATGAGGATAATATAAAGTTTTTTAGTCCAAAGGGATTTGAACCCCGAAGGACTATTAGTTTCGTTTTGGCATTTTGCGTCGGACTCATAAATGTCGGTTCACTTTTCAAACTGTTACAAAACAAAAACGTTAGAGTCCTGCGTTATATTTGAAGAAATTAAATAATGAAAAATCTGCATAAATGTATGTATATTTCTCGTATTGTGATAAAACAACGGTACATAGAGTCATCGAATTTTGAATAACGTAATCCTCCAACGAATATGAGCATGTGGAAGACCAAATTTGAAATTTGTTTTTTATGATCGATTTCCTATTTTTTAAAACTTTGACGAATTTTTGATTAACAAACTCAAGGATTTCAAAGCGAGCAATGGCAACGTTGTGCAGAAAAAACATTTTTATCTCCAGCGCGTGAGTCTCTGTATCGGAAATTCTAAAGATATGCTCGTTTTAAAACTATTTTGCGATATTGCTGTTGCACTGGATCTTATGGTTTAAGTGCGAGGAACATGATATTTAATAAAGAAAGGTAACACACAAAATGTTAAAAAATGCCCCTTTGGACGTAATTTTTTAAAATCTGAAACATTTCAGTTTTTTTTTTTTTTTTTCCCCCCTTCAGATATCTGCCATCCTTGATGTTGTAAATGTTTTCATAAAATTGTTTTGCTTAATCATTATTTTTTATTAATGTTTTGGTATGTTCTAAAGGATAAGGGCATTAACTTTCAGATTTAATATGCTGTTATTAATTAATAAACCTGGGACTTAAAAATTGTTGCATTGCACAAACAGCCTTTGGAAATATTTTGTCATAATTATGTATGTGTGAAAAATTTCAAGAAAATCAGGTTGGTAGGAGGAGGTTGGAATTTAGTATCAAGATTTGACCAGATAACCAACAAACAGAGAAACTGTATAAAAAATCACATTATGTAAATTTTCAAGTTAGTATTGATATTTTATTATTTTCTTATATCTTCTTATTCATATATTGGGTAGTCCTTCACTGCCAATATATTTTATGATGTATTGAATAAGTCACCTTGAATTGTTATATTGTGGAATTTTTATTCTATACTATTTAATTTAACAAAAATTATATTGAAACTTCTTCAGGTGACCACCTTTTAAAAGTGGCTAGTATATCTGAGAAATAAAACATTACTACCCATGTTCCTTGAGAGATTGATTCACCTTGGCTGATCAAAGTCATCTAAAATCTTGGATAGTCATTTTAAAAAGCTGATCTGTATTATTATTATTTTGAATTTCTACTTTACTTATATAGATTATTTGAATTTTAATTTTTCAGTATTTTTTCATCTATAGATTTTGGAACTGGAATATACCTCATGCATTGCAAATTCATAAGGAACATAAAGAATTTGTTTATGGAATAGATTTTAATCCTTTGAAACCTGGTCAGGTTAGTATAATCTCTAAAGTTAAAGAATTCTTTAACTGGTGCTTAATTATTTAAATTGATCATCTAAATTTTGCAGTTTTTGTGCTAAACTATAATACTTTGAATGAAATGTGTCTGAAAATCTGTAAACAAATTGAAAAGTAGATTTTCTTGTTTGAGAAGTACCTTAATGTATTCACTAATTGATCTGTTGGTATTTTTATTAGTACTTTTATTAATTATTTTTATTTTTTATTTCAGGCTTGTGATTGTGCGTGGGATTCATTACTTCACGTATATAGTGATTCTGTACCATAAATTGATATTTTATATTTTTGTACAACCATGTATATAACAAATATTAAATTTTTTGTTTTGTAAGTTTTTTAGAAGTCACTGTTATGTATTTTTAAGAATAGTCCTTTTTGGAAGATTTTCTATTAAAAAAAATCAGTTATTTTGCACTTTGACTTATAGCATTTCTTGAATATTAAGATTTTTTTCCCCAAGCATATAACTTAACTAAAGTTATTTTTCACCTTAACATCCAACGTGCATCTACCAGAATATACTACAGCGAGTCAAAAGTTCATATTATATAGGATGCGAAATAAGTAAGATATAAAAGATGTTTTTGATAGTATGTAGAGTTGATCTTAACATTTTTCTTCACTCTCTTTACTTTTAATTTATCATTATATGAAAAACCAGCAACAATCATAACAATCATAAATCTCTTAGAAAAACATTTTCCAAATCTCTTGAACCATGTTTCAAGTTTTTTTTCTGTTTGATGATAATGAATAGATCTTTTTTTATTGCAGTCATTTAAGTACACCCAAGATTCATCTATTGTGACAACATTTGTCCATTTTTGTGCGGATAAATGTTTCTCATAAAGAATTCTGCAGCACGCTCTGCATGCAGAGATAAGTCATGGAGGAAGACGGTGCACATTATGTTTTGCCTTTTTCGAGATTCAAATGAGTATTAATCGCTTTGTTTATGGTTAAAACAGAGTATTTTAATGATTTTGCAAGTGTCCTTTTACATAGCAGATTTTCTTTTAACATTGAAGATGTGCAACATTTGAAACACTCAATTTTTTCCCTTGGATACATATTTGAAAAAGCTAAATTCTGACTTTTTTTTAAACTTTGTTATAAACAACATTGCCTATTGTAGCTTTAGATATAAAAAAACCATGGCTTTCACAATTTTTTTTTAAATAACTAATCGATTAATTTCTTCAGAAAGAATGCAAACATAGTTTTTCATCCACTGGGTTAATTAACTGCAACATTTTGCATAAAAACAAAACTGTCAAGTAGGAGATGATAATTTATATTTTCAAAAATATAGTTGCAGTAGCAATTAAATAAAAGATTCCAGGCAGAAGATTTTTTTTATAGCAAAGCAAAACTGTCTTAAAAAATGTGAAAACAACCTCTGTATTACTAAGGCAAATTTTATGAAATATATCCATAAAATTAATTTTATCAGTAAATAACTTTATTTAGGGGGCAGGATATTTTTGTCTTTATTTAATGCTATATATAATTAATTGTAATATAAAATTAGGTAAAAAAGTAACCTTAGGTTGGCATACAATTTTAATAAAATTCTGCCGATTTCGAGGGTAATCAGCCATGTATCCATCTCTTTTTTTCAGGAAAAGTCCCCCCCTCCCAGGACTGAGAAAAGCAAAATTATTTATATAGAAAACAATGGAACAAAGCAGAAGCAAACAGAATGTGATCAATAGAGGGAAATAGTAATGAAATATGAAAATACTGTTAGGGAAAATTAGAAAATACTATACTACTACTATTATGAAAATAATATTGAAATCTCTGGAAAACTGCATTCAAATGAATATTATTATTACTATGCAAGGAAAATTGATATATTTTTGTTAATGGTGCATGCTGGGTTTGATACATAAAGTAACATGGGGGAAAATTTTATAACAATAATGTATTCTATTATATAATATATTTAATGTGCATAGTGTCAAAGCTGTGCAGTTCTTTTTTTTTTTTTAGAACTGTTTTTCCCGTATGTACACAGCAGTCTATTTTTACTTTAAAAAAACATACCATTTGCTATTACAGAAAGCACTGCAGTTTTTGTATAATAGCATCTTTCATGTTAAATGTTTAGTATATACATGTGTAAGTTATACTTGATGTCGTAATCATGAAATCTAAAACTTAGTAGTTAAGATGCGGGCTATAAAAACGTTCACAGTCTCTACAGCTAGTTCTCTCTAGTAGCCACAATGTGGGTATCTCACTGCCTTCTAGTTTTTTTTTTTTTTTGTTTTTTTTTTTCAAATAAAGATTATAAAATATTTAATACTTTATGTGTTTAAATACCTTCACATGCATTTTAAACATTAGCTGTAAAAAAAAAAAATAAACTTTTAGTTTTTCAGTATTTTACAACGAGCAGAGAATCATATATCTAATTTAATACAGTACATGCAAAGTGTTAATCTAAATTCACTATCCAGAATGATCTATAATTCAGACCACCAGCAAAGTTTTTGAATTTTTTTCATGTGTTTTGAGCATGCACATTTGATTATTTTTCATTATATAAAATGCAGATAGTCCTGATTCTTAGTTTGACTTCGGCACCATTGAAGAAACAGTCATTTATTACCATAAATCCATAACCTCCTTTTTACTTGGCATAACATCTCCAGCCGAAACATTGTTGATTTTACACCTACTGAATAATCTATATCCGTAAGCTGACGAATCGGTATTTATTATTTTTTTGCTTTAATCACCACATAACTATCAACACACAGCAACATGGTAATGACTTACACAGCAATGTGTAAACTTTTAAAAGATATATATATATATAAGTATGGTAACCTTTTTCTGTTGACATGACGTTTGGCAATGATTAGGGGCTTCCGTTACCTGTGCTACGAAGTGTTTAGCATGCTGACAGCGAGAAATTTAACAGAAATTTCTTTCCATGTGCAAAAAATGGATTTTGTAAATGATAATCATAGGCCAAAAGATTACATTTAGTGTGTTTTAAATTGAGAATAACTGATTTGTTATGCAGGTAAGCCCAGGTAATTCTGCCAGGGCCCCTGGCAGAATTTTTAGAATTTAGGCAGGTGTTTAACAGGAAAATTTAGAATCCACAGAAACTGGTCTCAAAATGTCTAGCTGCAGCCCTGTATTAGCCTTAAGTATATGTGGGAATTTATTTATTTGGGAGTCAGATAAGCCTTAACCATGTATGGAAGATAGGCGTAAACATAATAAACAGCTAAATATAATTCAGGTTTAATTTTATCAGGATGAAAGAATGTATCAGAGCAAGAAAGAATGTATCAGAACCATGTTTTTAGTTACCAATCTGGATACATTGCCAATAGTATATAAAGTGGACGTTAGCTAAGCTGCATGATAGCCATGAATTTGAAGCTTTTCAAATATCTCAAAAAGGCAAAATTTCCCAATTAATGCAAAGAAATGTGGAGAAGTGGTAAATGAAGATGATACAGGTGAAGATTTTCATTGTGAGGACAATTCCTCTGTCGTGAATCGGTTAATGGAAGGCAAAATCTGTAGTAGGGTTCTAAATCCAGAAAATATCGTTACTAATAGTGAAGAGAGTAACAAGTTGTTCAGAACAGAAAAATTTCGATTGGCAATTTAGTGGGAATTCTCGACATGACAATTACAGGTCTTCTATTGAACTTTATAACTGAACAAGAAATTGTTATATGTTTATAGAATTAAAAAGAATGGTATTAGCACAAAACACAAAGCAACTTAAACAACTCCCACAATAAATATTGAACTTTTTTCTTGTTGCTAATTGTAAATTCCCGTAAAGAATTTGCCTTCCAACCAGGCACAAACTTTTCTTTATTGAAAACTTGATACGTTCTAGTTTGCTATGTCTCAGTTTTGGCATATTGTTTTAATGTTCTAATAGGATGTTGCATTTTTTATTTCTACAGTAATTGGTAAGGTAAACTTTATTTACATCTTGGCTTTAATTTTAAAAATAAATTTTTGTTATGTTGTGAAGGCAAGGTCAATCATCGAATACGAATGAAAATGTTATTGGGCTTCGCCAATCATAAACCACAGGAAGAGAAAGAAGCAAGGCCAAAAAAACTTTTATGGAAAAAAATTGCCTACATTAACAAATTTCTTTTAAAACGGCAGAACACTTTCTATGGAAATTACATAGCATCCAGCAACAGAAGCAGGCAAAAGATAAACATGACTATAAGACATGCAACAGCCAGAAGAATGTTCAAATGAATCTGATAATATTTTAATGTTAATTATGATGATCCTGCAGTGTGGGGAAAATAAGCAAAGAAAAAATTTTGAGTATGATGAGGAGCATATCTAACATAGATGGAGATATTCACGAACTGGCCTTTACTGCATGTAAAGTGGTTTACAAATTGCAAAGTTGGTGTCATAAGAAAACGATAGTTTATAGACATTTACTAAACTGAAAACAATAAAAACGAAACTGGCTTTCCTGTTCAAATTCTTCAGAAAAAGTTTACTGCATCCCATGCAAACTGATAAATATTGTTGCAACCCAACTACCCAACCAACTTTTTCTCTACCTATGCTACCTAAAGGACATCTCTTGCTTGGCTGTTTTTGTTAAGAATGTAATGATTGCATTGTGATTTTGTGATTTGAAGCTCTCGGCATCTTCTGCTGCGTAATTGATATTTTCAGTGATCTTCTAATCCTCAATTCACTTAAGATTGCAAAATAATGTCTTCCCTGGTCAAGCACTCATCTCTCATCAATTTATTGCAAGGAACTAAATCTTATCATCACACAGATATATACATATATTATACAGTCAAAAGTCGTTAATCCGGACTCGTCGGGACTTCGGCGATTCCGGATTATCGATTTTTCCGGATTATAGATCATCAGTTTAAATCTCGTAAGATGGCATGCAGAAATTCTAAAATTAAAAATATGAAACCGTAATTTATGAAATAAAGAACAATTATGATCTAAAGGGTATCAAAATTTGCAAAAAGAAAAAGCTTAATATTTATTTGTTTACTTTATTAAACATTTCTTTCAATGTAAGTTGTTTAAGTTTTGCTTCGTTTCATGTGATAATACTTTCTCTTTAATTCTATTAAACAGACATAATTTCTTGTTCAGTTACAAAGTTCCGCCGTTCAAGTCCTCTATAATTGCTGTGTCGAGAACACCGACTAATTTGTCAATCGAAATTTTTTTGTTTTCAATAACCTCTGTCACGTTTCTTCGCTATCGGAAGCGAATTATAATGACGAGGAACTTGTTTTAAATCATATCAAAGACGGAGCATATCGAGATGAAATACTACATTTGG